ACGTATACGATGTATTTTTACCCTCAACATTTGCCCCTCAGAGGGGATGACTCGTACACCAACAGGCCGGCTCCTCTGACCTTTAATAGCCTTAGCGCGTATAGATGTATTAGGGTTTTGTCAACTTTCTGTCCGCCTGACAATTGTAGGGCGAACGCCTGTCTATTCAAGCGGCGCAGACGAGACTGGGCCGTTGATTTTTTACGACCGTCCTGCCATGTCGGAGAGAGCTTTAGTTCTGCCAACTTTCCCTTGGACGCGCCGTTTATTAGGTCGTCCTTTCCGTTTAACTTAACGGAGTTGCTCGTTGCCCTTCCAAATTCTAGGTCATTTTTTCAAATTGTAATCGTTCAGCTGGGTTAGGCGGGAAAGTTGAATTTACTATCTTACCCCCATAAATTTTTCCTATATATACAAGGGGTTTGACTTCATTTTGGCACTTTGGAACTTTACATTTTCTAGAGAGAAGTCAGAGCTTCTAGAGAGAGAAACTGTTTTTTCCTTTGATTCTTCAAGAGCTCCGCCGCGCGTTTGAGTTTTTCGGTGACATAGGTTGAGTTTTCCGATCAATCTTCAAGGTTTCCATGTTTTCAACACGTGCAGAGGTAGGCCGCCTGTTTTTCTTTTCCTTGTCTTTTTATTTCTTTGTTTGTTTAAAAGCTGGCTCAACACTCGGCTTCGTCCGTTTCTCCTCATGAGGCCGGCCGTTCGCCTGGGACTGAGGAGTCTAGAGTGGACGGAGACGAGATGTCTCCTTCATGGAGTGGGTCCATTTCTAGTGTGTACCAACTCTCATCCACCCATTCTTCTCTGTCCCTGCAGTCGAACATGGCACGGACGATGCAAATGCACGACCGTCATGCGGCCAGAAATCCAGACGGAAGTTTGGTAAACCCTAGGCCTCCTTACGACCCAAACAACGTTAATGTTGAGACCCTTTCTACCACTCCTACGACCGCTTCCACGGGCACTTACTGCTCGGCCGTGGATGTAACTTCCTCATTTGAGGAGCGTCAAAGAACTCAAGGCGCTCCTTTAATGGGGGGAACGTCCGGGCAAACTCCGGGGTTGAGGTTCCCCCAATATGCCAGCTCGGTCATGGATGTGGCCGAGTTGCTACTCTGTGAGGTGCCTCCTTCCTCTTCTTGAGCGGACGCTGATGCGTCCGTCCCCACTCCCTCAGAACTCTATCTCCGATATGGCAGGTTGGACAGACAAAAAACGGGGATTTCACTTAATGAACCGTTCGACCTGCCCCCTCGCAGAGCTCCTCCTACTGGGAGTCAGGCGGCCGATGCCAAGGATAAGGGCAAATGACCACTTGAAGACATTATCTCCCCCCGAGGCGGTCATAGTTCTAGGAGCCGCAGCTCGGCAGAGGCAGCCGTCCTTGACAGAGTGCTGTCTTCCGAGTTTGGGAGTGCTCCTCAACGAGAAGAGGGCGAAGCTGAGAATGCGGCCGAGGGTGGAGCGGCGGCCGCAGAGGGCGAAGAGGCGGCCGAGGAGGAGGTTGCCAACATTGACAACTTCAAGGATCCGTACGCCTACATGGTGGGTAGCACGGCCTTGGGCTACCTGAACCACAACTTTGAGGAATACAAGGCATTCCTCCTCCTTGGGGAAGGATTTGAGATCCAGCCTCCAAGGAAGTCCCGCGCTTTGGCCGCCTGGGAAGAAGAGAGGCCGCATCTATAGGGCGGCCTTGGACGTTGGACTGCGCTTCCCCCTCCATCCTTTCGTCCGCACAATCTTGGACGAGTATGATATTGCTCTCTTCCAGCTGATGCCAAACAGCTGGTTGAACATTTTTGGGTACTTGGTGACGTGCATCTGCAAGGGCTTCGAGCCAGACTTTGCAGTTTTCTGTGAGATGCACTCACTGACTAGGCTGGACGCGGATACGGACGGCTGGCTCATCTTGAGCACCACTAGAGATTACATGGTGGTGATGGACCGCGTCTCCAAGTGGCGTGACTGGAAGCACCGATTCTACCGCATCAAAACTAAGGACGTCGAATTTAACTTGCGGATGAATCAGTTCAATGCTGAGCCAATTCAACTTGGACGTGGGGATCTCAAGCCCGATAAGCCACCCGTCCACCCCAGCTTGAATATTTCAAAGTCAAGCGGGTGAAAAGGAATGACAAAACTGAGCGCGTTCCAAGTAACTGGGTCCCTTTATCCGACTGGCTGCGGGATCCCACCTTTATGTCCGCCTATGGCCTGTACAAGAACCTGCCCCAAGGTGGACGCACGGACACATATTCTTATACTTACACATATTATTTGATCTTGAAAAATTTTCTAACTTTTTTTCTTCCTCTTTCAGCTGAGGCGTACAAGATGCTGGACAAAGAGCAAAAAGGGGAGGTCAACATGTCCGAGATTGACCTGGCTCGGTACAAGGCTTGCTAGAGACTGTACGAGCAAACTAAAGGAGTAAGTAAACCCATCTAGCTTTCTTCCTTACGTCCGTGTATGCATTACAGAAGAGATCTTCTTCCTAACTAGGCTCGGCCTATTATATTATCTTGATTTATTTTGCTAACTTTTGTTTCTACAGCTGGCCACTCCAACCCCCAGGTCCAAACGGAAGCAGTCTTCTCCTGCATCCAAGACAGATAAGGACGGCAAGGCGTCCAAGCAAAGGAAGAAGGTCGCGTCCAAGACCACTTCCACTTCTGCGGCCAAGAAAACGTCACGGAGTGTCTCAAAACAATCCAAAGGAGAACAACCCCGGCTGAGCGATAGCGAGGCCTCCAAGTCCATAGATCCGGCCGCCATGCCGGGTCATGTTGGGTCCGAGAAATCGGACGATAGGGGTAAGTCGACCCCGACAAAACCAACCGGGCCAGAAGTGACTCCGCCCGTCCAAAGAGTCAATGAATCTAATTGGCTTGATGCCAATAAGTCGGCCGGCGATCAGCCTGGCTGGACGGGGGAGGAGAGTAATGAGCCTGCGCCGCCCCCGCCGTTCACTTTCAACCTTCCTACTCCTCCAAGCTTCTCTGACGGTCAGTTCCAATAACTTTGGATTTTATTTTGTCCCTTTTCTTCTATTTTTTTTATTAAGCTTACATTAAACTCTTTGCGTCCGCCTACAGACATTGCAGAGGAGCTTCAAATGAAGCTGCCCGGCCAGTCCCTTACTGGAGCGGACATGAAGGCGATGCGGGAGGCCATGGCCCGGGCCGTCCCTACTGAGCAGCGAGACAAGCTGCGGGGAATACATGACGGCTTCCTCGGCCCCATAATCAATTTCAGCGCTGAGGTAAATTTTTCCCTCAAATGCACTTAGCCAATTTTTCGCTCATTTTGCTAACACATTTACCCTGTACGCAGCTCTTCCTGCGGCTGAATGCCTTCCTGGAATGGAAGGACAAGGAGAATGAGCGGCTGAAGCATGCCTGGGCCCAGATTCAAAAGACCCAGGATGCCGTTACTGGGGAGGTGGCCGTCCAGCGCCGCTATTTTGAGACCCAAATCAACGCGCTGTCCGACAAGGCTGCGCGGCAGGCGAAAGATTTGGTGAAGCTGGGCGAGGCCCTACAGCAAGAGTCTGTGGCCAGGGAGGCCATGAGAAAAGAGAGGGACCAAGCCTTGCTGGACGGCGAACGCTGGAGGGAAGGGTTCGAGGCCTCCGAAAAGCTTCAGAGTGATGTGGCCTTGGCTAAAAAACACTTGAAGGAGGCCTTGGACGAGTCGGACGCTCTGAGGGCTGAGGTGGAGACCTTGAAGAAGTCTGTCAAGGACTTGACTCTCCAGCTGAAGACGCCTCGGGCCCCCAGCGCAGACGAGGTCGTCCGCATTGAGCAGAACGCTGAGGATAGGCTGAAGAGTTTCTTCTTTGAAGCGTTCGAGCTCATGGTGGAAGATGGGGAGGCTGCCTATTTTCAAGAGCGCTTCACTAAGCGCCTCAACTTTGTCTGCCTCAGGGAAGAAGCTAAGAAGGCTGGCCAGCCTTCTCCTGAGCTGGACGCCACACCAACAACCTCAGAGGATGAGGAAAATCAAGTGGCGGCCGGCCATGATGGTGAAGCGGAGAGCAAAGAGGTGCCAGCTAAGGACGCCTCTCCTGCAGCTTCTCAGGATCCCATCCCAGTCCTTGATTCAGCTTCTGCCATGGCCACCCCCTGACTTTCAGCTTTCTCTGCTTTTAAGCTCTATTTATGTATATTTTTCTTGACTTTTTTAACCGCCTTTTCGAGCGGTTTTTATGTAAGATATTTTACCGCCTTTTGAGCGGCCCTTTTATTAATTAAGTTTGATGATTTTTCTTCATACTTTGCATAGTTCATACTTAACAAGTTTTTTGCATTTTTATACACGTACTTTTCACGTTTTTATATCCTCGTACAATTAGGGGGTATGCCCCTTTATTCGGTGTTCACCTAGTCCATACTTTGGGTGGTTTGATTGGCTTGGTAGAATTTATACCTTAGGTGGTATGACTTTTACCAAGTTAATCAAATCATAATAATGATTGCCCTTGGACTAGGTGGTACGCCGAATCAACACATATATTGGCCGTTCAATTGGCTTTATGTGAGTTTGTCCGTTGAAACTATCGCTCGGACGCACTCAGGAAATTCCAAGTGTGATCTTTACTTAAAATTTTCATGTTCGGCTAGGCTGGAATGCCTTGGTATGCCCTTGCCCCACTATGTGGGTGTCACAGGGTACCTTACCCTTATCGTTCGCATTAATTTAGGGCGGACGCATTCATGTGAATTTTGGGATCAAGCTGCCCATTCTTATTTTATTTAATTTATTTTTGTTCTGCGACCGTGTTGCTATGTTGCAAGTAACATACTTGCAACTTTCACGCGGCCTATCCGTATAAGTTATGACTGTACAAATAAGCATAAATTAAATGGAAAAATAATTATAACAATGTTTGACTTTTTCATTAATTTGTCAAAATTACATTGTCGTAGCCGTACGACTTACATTGCTCGGTCAACAGACCTAGCTGTATACACAACTTTTTGGCTAAGTAACTAAACATAATATTTCTTCAGATTGTCAGTGTTCCATGTGCGCGGGATGGGTCGGCCGTTCATGGCTTCAAGACGGTAAGTCCCATCTCTGACCTCTTCCCTGACTCGATAAGGCCCTTCCCAATTTGGGGTCAGCTTGCCATCCTCATTTGCTCGCCCCACCGCCTCCATCTTCCTTAGGACCAGATCTCCCAATTTTATTGGCCGCTTTGACACTCGGCGATTGTATGCCCTTGTCATCCGAAGACGATGGATTTTGTGTCTAAGCGCCGCATTGCCCCTAGCTTCAGGAAGGAAGTCTAGAGCGGTCTTCATGGCTTCCCAATTGGCCGCTTCATCATATAGTATCACCCTAAGAGCGGGCTCATACATTTCAATTGGAAGGACCGCCTCAGCACCATAGACTAAGAAGAAGGGAGTTTCTCCTGTGGAACTTTTGGCCGTGGTCCGTATGGACCACAACACATTAACCAATTCGTCAGCCCACAAGCCGCCTGCTCTTTCAAGCTTGTGCTTAATTCCATTGGAGATCAATTTGTTGTATGCCTCTACCTGACCATTTGCTTGTGGGCGGCCGACTGAAGCAAAGCAATGAGCTATGCCTTGGTCTTCCAACCACTTTTTGAGTTCAGGCGTTTCGAACTGAGGTCCATTGTCAAACACCATAGACTGAGGAACGCCAAAGCGTGTAATGATACTCTTCCATATGAAAGCTGAAACAACTATCCACTTGATGCCTAGGACGGCCTCGGCCTCTACCCATTTTGTGAAGTAGTCTACTGCTACAAACACATACTGCCTCTAGCCGGACGCTGGTGTGTATGGTCCTAAGATGTCCATCCCCCATTTGGCAAAGGGGAGCGGACTACTGATGGCCGAAAGGCTGTTGGCGGGTCGGTGAATTAATGTTGCGAACCTCTGGCATTTGTCACACTTCTTCACCATTTCCATTGCGTCCGACTTTAAGCTCGGCTAGTAGTAACCCAGGCGGGCAGCCTTTTCAGCCAAAGCTCGTCCTCCAATGTGAGAACCACACTGCCCCTGGTGAATATCATCCAAGACATCATACCCTCTCTCAGGAGTGATGCATTTCAGGTATGGCTTTACAAATGCCTTTTTGAACAACTCTCCTTGCTTAACTTCAAACCAAGCCGCTCTCTTTTTCATCAACCAGCTCTCTTTAGGATCGGCCGGTAATAATCCGTCCTTAAGGTAAGATATAATCCCGTCCATCCAAGTGGAGCTTCTATCAATTGCGTGTACTGGCTCAACATCAATGCTCCTCTTCTCTTTTACTTCCCAAAACACTACATTGGGAGTATCACATGATGCTGAGGATGCTAACTTAGAGAGGGCGTCCGCCTGATGATTGGACGAATGAGGGACCTGCTGTAGGGTAAAATGGTCTAGGCTCTCAGCCTCCTCTTTTACAATCTTCAAGTATTTTTACCATGGCCGGCTCCCTCGCTTCAAAGTCTCCATTCACCTGGCCGACTACAAGTAGGGAGTTCGAGCATACTTTAATTTTTGTCGCTCCTGCCGCCTTACACATTATGAGGCCGGCCAAGAGGGCTTCGTACTCGGCCTCGTTATTTGAGGCTTGAAACTGGAATCTCCTTCAGGTGACTTGCATGTAACACCTGCACCGCAACCAGTAGCTGTCGCACTGCCATCCACGAACACTTTCCAGATTTGATCTCCGGCCGTCTGAATATCCGGCCGAGTCATTTCAGCTAAAAAATCAGCAAAGGCTTGCCCCTTGATTGCTTTTCTTGGCTCATTTTTAATATTCAACCCTCTCATTTTCAAGGCCCATTTAAGCATACGACCGCTTGCCTCTAGCGTTGTAAATGGCTTCTTCAAGGTTGGTCTGTGTAGACCACAATTGAATGTGCCAAGAAGTATGGCCGCAGCTTTTTTGATGCCATGTACAATGCCAAGACAAATTTCTCAATGGGGGGATACCTTAGCTCAGCGTTATGTAGAACGTGGCTAATAAAGTAGACAGGGATCTGGCGGCCGTCCCGTTCAGCAAGTAGGACGACACTTAAGGAGTGTTCTGAGATGGCAAGATAGATGAATAGCTTCTCGCTCTTAAGTGGACTGACAAGCCGAGGTAATGTATGTAAATGGCCTTTTAGCTGTACGAATGCTTCCTTGGCCTCCTCTGTCCACTCAAACATGGCTTTCTTTTTTATGGTTTGAAAGAAATAGCGGCACTTATCCCCTGACCTTGACAGAAATCTACCAAGTGCAGCCAAACAGCCCGTCAATCTTTGGACTTCTTTAATTGTCCTTGGTGACTTCATGTCCATGACAGCTTGGATTTTTTCAGGATTGGCCTCGATTCCACGTTGATCAATCAAAAATCCAAAAAATTTACCGGACTCAACACCAAAGACACATTTCTTTGGATTTAACATCATCTTATGCCGCCTGAGTTCGGTGAAAGTTTCTCGTAGATCTTTCAAATGCTCAGCCGGCTCTTTTGACTTGACAATCATGTCATCAATGTAGGCTTCCATATTCCGGCCGAGCTGATCTCTAAAGACTGTGTTAACAAGTCGCTGAAAAGTAGCTGGGGCATTCTTAAGGCTGAATGGCATAACTTTGTAACAATACAACCCCTGCTAAGTCACAAACGCTGTTTTCTCTTGGTCTTCTTCCCATAACGGAATTTGATGGAATCTGGAGTATGCGTCCATAAAGCTCATCAGGGCATGCCCGACCGTCGAATCAACCAGACGTTCGATTTTAGGCAAGGGAAAGCTATCCTTAGGGCATGCCTTGTTTAGATCGGTGTAATCTACGCACATTCTCCAAGTTCCATTCGGCTTCTTGACAAGGACCACATTGGCCACCCATTCTGGGTAATAGCATTGCCGAATGAAACCGGCGTCCAGAAGCTTCTTGACTTCTTCTGCGGCCGCCTGATTCCTCTCTTCTCCATGATTTCTTTTCTTCTGACGGACAGGTTTTACGGCCGGATTCACAGCCAATTTGTGCACGGCCAGATCTGGACTTATACTTGGCATCTCACCGAAATCAAATGCGAATACATCCTTGAACTCTCTCAATAATTGAGTTAACTCATCCCCAAGCACACCCAAAGCTATAGTTCCCACACTTGGTTGATCGGGGTCAAGCACTATATCCTGGTGACTGCCGGCCGGCTGGGGTCGTAACTCTTCTGGCCGACCGAAAGTCATTAGCTGCTATGCTTGCTCTATCTTGGCCGCCTTACGCTTCTGGCCAACCTGGTGTGTTGGGAGTGAGGTTCCTTCTTCTTTTGGCTCGGACGATTTTGGTCCGTGCGCTGTAGGCTTAACCGCCAACTGATTACATTCCTTTGCCATCTTCTGGCTTCCTTGGATTGTACCTATTTTCCCGTCTGTCCTCTCAAACTTTAGCAGCATTAGGTGAGGCATAATGACTGCTTTTGCTGCATTCAGTGTATGACGGCCGAGTATGACATTATATCCAGTAAGCTCTTTCACAACCAAGAAGCGGACAACCATATCTCTTCCTTCCCCTTTTTGCCCGAATCGGACGGGTAAATCTATCTGGCCCACCGGGTGGATGAAATTCCCCCCAAATCCGACCAACGGGTGAGTGATGTCTTAGAGAGCATCCTCTGGGAAGCTTAGATTTTTCAAGGCGGCCAGGCTGATGATATCAGCCGCACTACCCGTGTCAATCAATATTCGTCCGACCTTCAAATTGGCTATCTTCATAATGAATACCATTGGATCATTGTGCAAGGCTTTGACCTCCCCCCGATCGGCCTCACTGATGATTACTTCGGGGAAGGGTTCAGCCTTCACTGAATCCATCTGCATTACCTTTCCCAGGTTCCGAGCGTCCTGCTTGATCCCTCTCATAGTGGGACCGCCTGAGGCAAATCCTCCTGATATCACGACCACAAAGCCCGAATCAGTGCTGTTGCCATCATCCTCTTTATCTTTGTTCTTATCATTCTTCTGCCTTTGCTCGGACGTGTTGTTTGTCCGTGTGTAGGTGAATTTGGACTTCATCACATATAAATTCAGCATGCCCTTCTCGGCTAGTTTATCCAGGAGTCTCTTTAAGTTAATGCAATCGTTCGTGTCATGTCTCAGCGGCTGTGACTTCTCAAACTCAAACTTATCCTTGATTTCCATCAAGATAGAATAACAATCCTTGTTGAATTCAAAATGAGGCTCGTACGCCTTGACCTTCTTGGATTTCTGTGGCTAGCCATCAGCCACCCAGACTTCCTTTCTCTTTTTTCCTTCTTTCTTTTGGTCGGTCGAGTCTTGTTGAGAAGGTTTCTTCTCAGCCCCCTTGGCCGGCGCTTCTGCTTTTGTGAGCGAACAAAAGTCCGCCGCTTCAATATAAGCTTCGGCTTCCCGCTAAACACCTGCGTATGTCCGAATCTTTTTCCTTACCAAGTCAAATTTAAAACCATTGTGCCTTAATCCCCGGAGAAATTCAGAGTAAGCCATTTCGTCCGGTAGATTATGAATTTGGGCTTTTCTTGGTTAAATCGCTGGACGTACGAGCGTAAGCCCTCATTTTTTTCTTGGACGATTGTCGCCAAGTTAAGGCTAGTCTTTCGAGGCGGTATGTTGTATGAAAAATTTCCCACGAACAGCAAACTAAGAGTAGTGAAACAATTGATACACCCGGCCGGCAGACTGTTGAACCAATCCTGTGCCACACCTTTCAGAGTAGTCGGGAAACATTTGCACCAAGTAGCATCATCTACGCTTTGCAAGTACATCAGGTTCCTGTACGAGGTGATGTGCTCTTCTAGGTTGCCCGTCCCATCATAAGCTCCCACAAGTACACTCTTCACCTTTGGTGGCTGAGGGGCATTTAAAATATCTTGCGAAAACGGGGGCGGCTTATCTCCCAGAGTAAGTAGGCGCATCTGCCAATCGATGGGTTGCGGTTGCAAGGACGGCCCAGCCAGATAGGGAGCTTGTCCATACACCTGCCCATATGGCCCATATTGTCCGTATGTCTAGGGGTTTGGCTGCATCAAACCATTGAACCCCTGAGGTTGATATTGCAGTGATTGGGCTGGAATAGGAGTTGGAGCATGGAAGACTGGAATAAGAGTTGGGGTGCGAACTGCCTGACTTCCACTGGAGATGGCCGTGTTGGTATGCTGGGAAAGGGAATGATGTGAAAAATCATCCGGCATTTTCGGGGTTGAGGCCGTGTTACAGTAGGCGGCGCGCTCCCGCTGCTTATGCCGAAGGTAATCCCTTGCGTCCTTCCATCGTCTGGACGGCTCAGGCTCCTCTCTTCGAGGTTGTCTACCTCTCCCCCCAGCCGACTACGTTTTCGCCAGCAAGTCAGAGAAATTAGTCCGCGGTACTCTCGGGGACCTTCCAGTCGGCCTTCGAAATGGGGTGTTTTTCATCGTCTGTTGCATGGATTGTTTTGCTGTGTGTCTTTCTTGGAGCCCTCTGTTCCTCTCTCCTGGGCGGCTGCCTAGAGGTAGAGGCTCCGTTTTCAATTTCTTTTCTGAGTTTGTTAAGCGCGGCCTTAAGAGAGGCTGCGGTAACAGGAGGGTCATCAGCTTCTTCAAATGTGGCTATCAGAGGATCGCTAGTACGGATCGTAGGGATTATATCCTCTACATGTCCATCCTCGCCTGGATTAGGTATCTGATCGTC